TTGTCACTACAAGGAAGGGTCCTTATATTAGTAAATGCACGCACTGCAACTACTGAGGCCTTCTTCCTGTCAGAATGACAATGCAATCTTAATGTATGGGTGTCAGTTTAGCTGAATCTAACCAAACACATCACTTACTACAGACGTTTTTAGGACCAACCCAGTTCATGAAAGATTTTCCTGTGATACACAATTTTACCCAATTTTTTTAAAAAAATGTGTTTTTATGGTAAATATCTTGATGAACTAATCTTGATGAACTAAGCAAACAAATACTGAATGCAGATTACTGTTTTTACAGCTTTACAGGGAGAACTCCTAGTGGCAACTCCTCTTCCCTTTTACCAGGGATCTTTAATTTAGGTGTAATTTTTGTTTGTTCTCTGCAAGAGAATGAAGAAGAAAATCAAGAAAGACTATATCTATCTAGATAAGATGCAGAGGGAGGTAGATGGTATCTCCAACATAAAAGAAGCTCTGGTGACACTGTTGCCAGACAGCTATTGTGGATTTTAGTATTATTTAATTAAAGGTAAAAGCCATTCACAAAATAAGAAACGTTTGAGATAGATCTTATTCTAATAATTTCATTAACACATCTTCAGGTTCTTAGATCAAGACATACTGTAGAGGTATCCTCCTCAAGATTATGCAATGGCAATAATTTCTTGCATACATTTTAGTAATTTAACAAACTTGTACTGTGTGTTCTGTGCTCTGGCATTCTACTTTAGAAAACGAATACTGCTTCTAACATAAAAAAGAACATAAACTAAAAAAGGAATTAATGAGATATTGACACCTTTTCTATTAAAACAATATTGGTATGTTTTAAATGATTTTGATATTGCTATAACAACATATACTGTGCAAAATAATTAATCTCAGTAAATATGATTTCTTATTTGCCAAGAATTACGTGCTGTGACAATCAGGAAATAGTCTTCAAATTAAGTTTGCAAACATGAGTTTGCAAAGCATGATTGGAAAAAATATATTCATTTGGGATATAAACTATTTATCAAGTAGGGTTGTTACGTGTATTTCTAGGAAAATATTTTATTCACTCTATAAAGGTCATTGTTATGACCTTACAGCTTCTGTGGTGCAATGGAAAAAAAAAAGTGTTAGAAGTCAAAAGGCCTGAATTCTATCCCCAATCCTGCATTTACTCGAGAGTATTAGTGTAAGTTTAGGTCAAATCCTTAATCTTGTCTAGTTTTTATGGTAAAAATGTGGCTACCTAACAAAACTGCGGGTTGAGAGGATAAAATGAATTAATTAAATACATCATCTGAGACAAAAATATATCAAAACAAGTCAAAATACAATTAGATTTAATGCTTAGAAATATTTTAATTCATATGTGCTATTTCACTAAATGTAGAAATATTAATACTTTAGTTAGATATAGAAAGTTGATGGTAGAAAAATAAAATCCATTGAACCATTGAACAGCTTGTCAGAAATGTGTACTCTTGAGAGTCTGAGGATGAAAAAAAAAAGTCTAACGAGCAAGCTATATAAACTGAGTCTAACTCGAAAAACTTATTTTAGATGTATATGAAAATTAAAAAAAAACCCAGAAGGTCTTAGTCAAAAGACTGTTTTAAAATTTCATCCTAAATTTATGTGAGATAAAAATGCCATTTTGTTTTTCTGAAGACAGAAGCTATATATCAACTTATTCTATTTTAATAGAATGTTCAGTATCTCTGTTCAGTATCTAGTAACAGAGATTCTCTAGCTTATTTTGCCACATTTAAATAAAAAAAATAAACAAAAAGTCCTGTTTGATCACATGAAAAATATTTACTGAAATGTGAATAAATTTATAATCATTAAATAATTGCCTATTGAAATATCCCTGAATATTGCTCACCTTATTGACAAGTATATATGAAGACTGAAAACATGTAGCTCATGCAAACAGTGTAAATGTAACTAAATACACCAAAGAAACAAAAAGCCATACTAAAAGTGTCCACAGTAACATGCAAAACATTAAAAAGTTTATCTAGATATTATAAAAACAAAGACAGGAAAACATTGTAAAAAATAATTATAGAAAGAAAAGTGGGGAGATGGTAAAGAAGCAAATCTGCACATGTACCCCAGAACTTAAATTGTGTATATATATATATATATATATATATATGAAGAAGCAGGAAATTGGGATGGGAAAATTAATTTGATCTAAATTCCCATATACTCTTGTAAAATCAAAAATTCATTTTGCATTATTAATTTTGCTCTTAGAAACTTTTAAAATGACAATTCTCAGTACTACAGCAATTCTTTTATGATTGGCGTGGAAATGAATTAAAGTGAAGAAAAATCAGTAGGAGAGAGAAGACTAAAATAAACAGGATTGTAGCATCCTGTGAAGAGCTGAAATCTCCAGTGCACAAATAACTGATAGAAAAGAAGAGAAAATCAGAACTATAAAAAATTGCATAAGCTCAGAAAATTATTCATTTTTAATTGTACCAACAAAGATAATTTATGATTTTGATTATGTAAGCATTATAATTACTGATAATTGGGCCTGCCATGAGATCATGCATATGGTTGTACAGGAATCAAAATCTTAAAGACAGATGGGTAAACTCGAGTTTTTATATATCATATTTGTCTTTCTTTTTTTTTTTTTTTTTTTGAGACTGAGTCTCACTCTGTCACCCAGCCTGGAGTGTAGTGGCACAATCTCAGCTCACTGCAACGTCTGTCTCCCGGTTCAAGCAATCTCCTGCTTCAGCCTCCTAAGTAGCTGGGACTACAGGCGCATGCTACAATGCCTGGCTAATTTTTGTACTTTTAGTAGAGACAGGGTCTCACCATGTGGGCCAGGATGGTCTCAATCTCCTGACCTCGTGATCCACCCACCTTGACCTCCCAAAGTGCTGGGATTAAAGGCCTGAGCCATGGTGCCTGGCCTGTAATATTAGTCTTTATTCTCAATACTTTTGATGCTGATTGGTGCTCTGAATGGTTATGGTTAAAAATCTTGTTGCTATGATGTATCAGTGATGTCCCTGCATTGATATAAAATAATACATAATGGTGCAATGCTGCGATGGTGCAATGCTTTGTTACTCAATGTTGTCAGGCACTTTGAGAAAATTAAAAACATTTAGGATAGTGCCAAAAAGATTAGTTTTTCAAAACTCTAAAATCACATTCAATTAAATGTGTATATAATTATAAACATGGGCATCATGGTTGACTATGAAGAATGCAGTGCCTTGCAAGTGCACTATTTGAATAGAGGTAAGGAGAACTACATTCTAATTAGGGACTTGAAAAGTCTAGGTGGAGAAGACAAAAGCAATGATTCTTGTTTATGGAACAAATAGACAAAGAGGAGAATGACAACACAGATGTTCAGAGAAACTTGAAACGTAAGTTAGAATGTAGTATAAGTTGTATTAAATGATGAAAATTAATATGTAACAATATAGATAAACCAAATCATTTGTATCTTATAATCTGTTTTTGGTAGCTAGGGATAATATTATAAATGGAATAATCACTAAAATTCTAAATATAATGTTCTCTAGTAAGTACATATTACTTTATTTATTTATTTTTAAATAGAGACAGAGTCTCATTCTGTTGCCTAGGCTGGAGTGCAAGTGGGGTCATTACAGCTCACCGAAGCCTCAACTTCCTGGGCTCAAACGACCCTCTCACGTCAGCCTCCCAAGAAGCTAAAACTACAGATGCACACCGCCATATCCAGCTAATTATTTTACTTTTTGGGTCATGATATGTAGCAACCGATCTGGGAATTATTTATTCATCAAAGATAACATTTTCCTCCTAAATCCAACCTCAGAAAAAATGTATTATGCCTGAGTCAAATATGTTATTTTTATGAGAAAAAGAGTCATATTAAAGCAATCATGTCTATACATAATCAATCATTATTTGAGATAATTTGCATTGGGGAGAAAAGCAGGCAATTAGAAATTACATATTCAAGTTCTAGTAAATGCAATTCTCTAGTAAACAATGAATAAATCATAATACAAATTACAGTTAAACCTAATTGCTTTACTGTATAAGATGTACTTTTTTTGTACCTATATTTTATTTACCTTTACTTCTCTGGCCTCTATCAGGAGGCAGCATGGTAGTGAACACTCTAGGGGTTCTTTCTGGTTTTAGGTAAACCTGAGTTTTAATTTTGGTTTATATTACCTTTTACTTCCGGTAGTTTGGTGAGCTTCTGTGTTTTCAGTTTTCATTCATCTGTCATATCAAGCTAGTAATAATTCTGCCATGATTTGGCTTGAATATTGAAAGGCATCACATAAACGAAATGCATAACACATAAATATTAGTTTATTTTCCAATATGTATCCTATCTCCCTATTAAATTGAGCCTAAAATGATTTTTTATTTTGTTTTATTAAGAGTGTTCAACATTCTATATATGAAAGGGATTTTTAAAGGTGTTTTGAGTGAAAAATAAGTTTCAACTAACTAATCAAGAATATCGTTTCATATTTATGTCATCTACATAAAAACTTATATTTATGACATCCTTTAGTCTTCTTTTCTACATTTTTGATTGTCATGTTGTACAGCGAGAAAAGAATGAGTACAAAAGATCTAGATTTTTGAAGTGCACATTCAAATACAACAAATTTAATTATTTTACTTATTCCTTAGTATTAGGCTGAGGCCAATGAGTCCATGAGCTAAGGTGTTGGAACTTGGTACCAAAAAAGTGATATTTATGAGTCATGTAGGTTTATATTGAGAAAACATCATGTCTTCCAATGTGAAATACACTAAAACCTGATCTGTTGTCTCTGAAGGTGTGCTAGGTAAACTCAAAAAGGATCAGGAAAGGAGGTGAGAATAGGTCAGAAAAAAAGCAAATCCAATGTTCTCTTCATAAATTAGTGATGGCATATTTAAGGTTAAGTAATGAAAAATATGGGGTGCTCAGTTAACACGAATGAAAGAATACTGAAAAGTTGCCATAAATAATTTGGATACCTTGATTAATGATACCCTTCCTTTTGTACAATTTCATAATGGGGGAATAGAGATTAGTGAGGATTTTAGTGGTATACTCTGACTTTGCTTCATGATACCTCAAACATTGAAAACCTGTTTTTCTCTAGGGGAAGAAATACTTTCAGCACTAATTGTGGCAGACACTGAAGCCAAATGTATCTCCTCCTCTATTTACGTGTCTATATAATAACGAAAATCCTAGGTTGATACTCTTTTCTCAATCTTGCAAAGATTTTCCTAAAGCAACAAATCTAACAAGTTCAAGAGGATGGAGAGAGTGAACAAGTAAAATAATCTATATTACCCTGGAACAATTCTGAATGCTGTAGGTATTTATGTCACTGTTTCAGTGTGTTCTGGTTTAACTGTCGATATTTAAGCATGGGAGTTAACGTGTGCATATTTGTAACTCTCTGCAGTGCTACTGCCAGGTGGGATTGTACAGATCATATCATGTGCTTTGAATGTGCAATTTTACCTTCTTTTCTAACAATTTAATACAATAAGTGTTAGAAATAAATAACTAATGAAGACAATCAAAGAGCAGCCACACAAATGTGAATTGGTTTTCATGTGACAAGAAAATCATCAGTAAGCAAACAAACCTCCTTCCTGGAGAAGGCCACTGAAATGCATCCAGCAGGACGTCTCTACTAGATGGTAATAAAAAAGAATATAATATAGCCTTTGACTTAAAACCTCATGAATATTACTTTGCCATTTATTTCCGCTGGGGATCTGATATTCGTATTAGTTTAATGTATCTTTTCAGAATACTTTTTGAAAAGTAGAATTTTTTTTTTTCGGAAATTTATGATTGGAGAATTACTACAGAATTTAGAGGTTACATTTCTTGACAAATCAGAGCTGAATAAAAAAGAACTAAAAATATAAACAAATGTAATTAAAGAATCATGATAGGGTGAAACTAAATTAAAAACAGCCATAAAGTCCCACATTTTTCCTAATTTATTTACCTATGATCTTGGCACATTTTGTTTTACTTAACATTTGAAAAATACAAATATCTCTTCATATGCAAAAGACTAAACGTTAAATGAAAAACTGAATTTTATATAGCTCCCTAAATATGAGCCACATGCTTAAGCAGTGAATAAACTTTATGAATCAAATCTTTGACATTAACTACTACAAAAGGCTGGTATCCAGGTGCAATCTCACAGGAAAAAAATAGCACCTGCCTTTATTACAATAAAAAAAAAGAATGGCAAATTCCCTTTGACATCTTAAGGGTGACATTGCTTTAATAGTCAAGCACTAAATACTTTTTAAAATTAGTCATAATGTTAAACTTCAGATTTATAAATGTAAATATTGTATTTATAGCTTTAGTCATAATGTATAATTTCTTTCTTGTTTAAATGTACTTTCTCATTCAAAATTGTATTTATAGTTTGAAAAGAATATGCCTCTTTATTCAGGAGTGATTCAGATTCCCAGATGTTTTCACATAGTTATGAAAGTGGGAAAGTGCTGAATTAACCTGGGCTGCACTATTTCAAGCTTTTTGCTATCAGGTTATAAACTATACCTACAATTCCAAGTCACGAAGTGCCTCTATTTCTAGAAGATAAGTTTCCCGGCTTTGTTATGTCCAAAGGCAGCAGGAAGTCTCATCAGTAGAGGGCGGAATTTTCAAGTACTGCCATTCTTATCCTAGGAGGCATCTCCAGTGGTTGAGCACAAGGCCCGCTTGGGGTTTGCTTTTGCTCTAGCATTTTGTGGAAGGGAGGGAGCTGAGAGAGCTTAGAGGATTCACTAAAACCACTTCACAGTCTTAGTTGTAGTCGGATGGAGTACTCATAACAGTAACCTCCGATCACCACTATGTGTTGGGAAAAACTAGAATTCAGTCTACTTAGAATCTTGCCAGCTAGGATTTTACTTTGATATTTCAATATAACAGCGAATGTGGATGGAGGCCTGGTTAAAAGAAAATACCTGATAATTACTTTCTGGATTACGAACTAAAATCCTTGTAAAATCAGTGAATGTAGCTCATTGTTAAGAGTCATCATACTTTTACATATCAGGTAAGAATTCTGAAAATTATTTGAGTGTTCTATTCTCTAGCACCAGGTACTAATGTCCCCTACTCAGAAAAGCTCATCTGCATGGATGAAGTCTAGCAGTGCTCAGATATAATGGTTTAACATTGATTTTCTTTTTTTTGTCAAACATATATGTAAATATTTTTATAGCGGTCAGATGTATTTTTGAATAAGGATCACCCTCATTTTTACCCATGTGTTTATCTTTAAAACAAACATTGTAAAGTAGCATGCAGATATGTTTCTTTTGTCTTCATGGATTTTTTTTTTTTACTTTAAAAATAAATTATCATGATTTTTTAAATTTGTTTTTTATTCTCCAGATATTTTGTGTACATGTGGGTAACCATGTGGGATTATGTGTGTTGGTGTGTAGGAAGAGGTAATTAATTTCTCTCAATTCTATCTCATACTTTAATATCAAATAAAAAAATGAAATGTATAAAGGATCACTTTGTAGGATTAGACATCCTCCTTCTAACTACTTAACTCAGGGGTTTGGGATTCAGAGCTCTTCATGTAACCAAGACCGAAAGTCATTGGAAGACTTTAAAATTAGTATTTTAAGCACCACACCCAGAGTCAGGTATGGAAATAAACCTATAGCATGGATTCTTTCTATGCATAATCTCAAAATTTAGCTACTCAAATAAGTTTTTAAAAACTAATTCAAAATTTGCCATTGAGGAGAATATCATCTCCATCCTTAATTGTGACTCTTCATTTCAGCTAAAAACTTTTCCTATACTTTAAAAACAAAATGAAAAACAAACTCCTAGGGAAAGTCATAAACACTGAAATCAGAGATGTGATTCTTGTTAAATATTAGTTTCTCTTTCTGAGGTTATACTCTGTGCATTTGAAACTTTGACGTGAACATCATCTTCTGGATGTTTAGGTTTGCTCAAGGGTTCAGATTCTCTGGTCGTCTTTCTTGCATTTTCCTCCTTCCTTTCCTTTGCAAGCAATCTATAGTTGATAGCATTGCCAATGAGCAGCCACACGCTTGCTGCTACCACAATAGCCCCACAGGACATGTACATGTACTTATATTCACCAGTTACATCCACCAACATACCTAAGAGACAAAGAACATCTTTTAAGTTGGCATAATAAAACAGTCATGTAATGATAAAAATTCCAAATAAATTATTCCTCAAAGTATATTCCTCTTATTTAAATTAATGGCAAATAAGACTCTAAAAAATAAAAAAAAATTCTAGATTATGACTTCTATATATGCTTAGTAAAGGTATGTAGATGCACTTATAGCATTATAATACCAGTACATTAAATTTACTAAAAATTATTTCTCCCAGTAAAAATATACAAATAAGACAAATTAGGTATATATGTTTTTGTGTGTGTATACGTTGACACATATATGAGTGAGGTATATTTTTATATCTCTACATATATAGATTATATTTATTTACAGCATACATGTTAGGATCGCTTCATCCTTTTCATACTTCCTTTTTCCTTCAATAGAGAAAAATTACTTTCTTTAGGAAAGATCCAAAGACTTTTACGTGATTCCTAACAGGGTCTAATATTTACTAAGTGCTTCCTCTATGCCCAGCGCTAGCCTAAGAGTTTTATCTGTAATAGCTCACTTGATCCTTACAAGGTGTATTGTGAAGTAATTTGGGCCTGGTTACATAACTAGTTAATGGTAGAATCTAGACTCCTAATGAGGTCTGTCTGGACTCATTCTTAACTACTCTGCAAAATGGCTTCACCTAACCTCTTGTTTAAGTGCCATGTCACTATGAGCTAATCCCAGTTTTTTACTTTATCTGAGTCTAAGTTATCAAGGGCAAACTCATCAGTAAAAGACTGTTCCAGAAAACCAAACACTGCATGTTCTCACTCATAAGTGGGTGTTGAACAATGAGAACACATGGACACAGGAAGGGGCTTTGGGGGTAGGGGGATGGGGAGGAATAGCGGGGACTAGGGGGATTGGGGAGGGATAGTATTAAGAGAAATGTCTAATGTAGATGATGGGGCGATGGATGCAGCAAACCACCACCATGGCACGCGTATGCCTATGTAAAAAACTTGCATGATCTGCACAGGTACCCCAGAGCTTAAAGTATAATAAATAAATCAAAAAACAAGCAAACAAACAAAACAAACTAACCGTTTGTTCCATTTGTTAATCAAGACCATTTAAAATCTACCCTGGTGCCATTTAATCTGAAGGTTTACTGACTTTTAAAATTTTGTCAGCTTATATTTAGTTTTGTCTGTTGCTCATGCAGATATCTAATTCTTAATAATTATTAATAGTAAAATGTAATATGTACAAATCTATATAAATTATTATATGCATTCCAAGTGATTCTGATGTACACCTTTCAAACCAGTATGTTTAGTCAGAATGCAGAGCATTCTCCCTAGAATCTAGTGGTGGCTCAGTATTAACTTTAGCTACTTGTAATATATTATATATTTGAACAAAATTTTCAGTTTTAATCAGGTAGATGGTAGAATGGGTTTATTTAAGAAAGCATGACATATTCGTTAACATAACAAAAATTATGTAATTTTAGTTTTCCTTCCTGAGTCAAATATTTCTATTTCTGCAATGATTGTTATACTTCTTTGTGTGTGTGTGCATGTGTGTGTACTTTCATCATGTAAATATTGCAAGACCTAACACAGAGAGCAATTAGTTACTTGAGGCAATTTGCCAGCCTACTGTAACCATAAGGTCAGATCTTAATGGTGACTTCTTGTCATTTGAGACCATTTGAATAACATATCAAAGGAAGAGAATCTCAAATAAGTTGTCTAAATTTAGTAAAGAAACCTCTTCTCCCTGGTAGTTTTGCTTTGTATTTCTTCTGGAACACCATAGGTATAAGAAAGAGCACTAAAAATTTCAAGTCTGATACTTCACTTGTTTTTTTTAATTTGATAAATGATTTTTATTTTTGTTTATTTATTTTTATTTTACTTTAAGTTCTGGGGTACATGTGCAGATCTTGCAGGATTGTTACATAGGAATACACATGCGATAGTTTGCTGCCTCCATGCTCCATCACCTACATTAGGTATCTCCCCTAATGTTATCCCTCCCCAGTCTCTCCAACCCCTGCTATCTCTCCCCTAGCCCCCAATTCCCCAACAGACCCCAGTGTGTGATGTTCCTCTCCCAGGGTCCATGTGTTCTTATTGTTCAACACCCACTTATGAGAGAGAATATGAGGTGTTTGGTTTTCTGTTCTTGTGTCAGTTTGCTGAGAATGATGGTTTCCAGATTCATCCATGTCCCTGCAAAGGACATGAATTCATCCTTTTTTATGGCTGCATAGTATTCCATGGTGTATATGTGCCACATTCTCTTTATCCAGTCTATCTTTGATGAGCATTTGGGTTGGCTCCACATCTTTGCTATTGTAAACAGTGCCACAATGAACTTACATGTGCATGTATCTTTATAATAGATTGATTTATAATGCTTTGGGTATATACCCAGTAATGGGATTGCCGGGCCAAATGGTATTTCTAAGTCCTTGAGGAACTGCCATACTGTCTTCCACAGTGGCTGAACTAATTTACACTCCCACCAACAGTGTAAAAACGTTCCTGTTTCTCCAGCATTTGTTGTCTCCAGACTTTTTAATGATCACCATTCTAAGTGGCGTGAGATGGTATATCAATGTGGTCTGGATTTGCATTTCTCTAATGAACCGGTGATGATGAGCATTTTTTCATATGTTTCTTGGCCTCATAAATGTCTACTTTTCATTGAAAAGTGTATGTTTGCTGGGCGCGGTGGCTCACGCCTGTAATCCCAGCACTTTGGGAGGCTGAGGCGGGTGGATCACGAGGTCAAGAGATTGAGACCATCCTGGTCAACATGGTGAAACCCTGTCTCTACTAAAAATACAAAAAATTAGCTGGGTATGGTGGTGCATGCCTGTAATCCCAGCTACTCAGGAGGCTGAGGCAGGAGAATTGCCTGAACCCAGGAGGTGGAGGTTGCGGTGAGCCGAGATCATGCCATTGCACTCCAGCCTGGGTAACAAGAGCGAAACTCCGACTCAAAAAAAAAAAAAAAAAAAAGAAAGGAAGAAAAATGTATGTTCATATCTTTCACCTACTTTTTGATGGGATTTTTTTTTCTTATAAATTTGTTTTAGTTATTTGTAGATTCTGGATATCAGTCCTTTGTCAGATGGGTAACTGCAAAAATTTTTTCCCATTCTGTTGGTTGCTGGTTCACTCTAATAGTAATAGTTTCTGTTGCTGTGTGAAGCTCTTTAGTTTAATTAGATCCCATTTGTCTATTTTGGCTTTTGTTGCCATTGCTTTTGCTGTTTTAGTCATGAAGTCCTTGCCTATTCCTATGTCCTGAATGGTATCGCCTAGGTTTTCTTCCAGGGTCTTTATGGTGTTAGGTCTTATGTTTAAATCTTTAATCCATCTCGATTGTTATACTTCTAAATATAAAAGCATTAGGTCTATGGCCCATCAGAGTTAATATCACTTCGGGCTGCCACATCAGCATACTTTCTAAATGATTTAAGAATTTTTTAGCATCACCAAGAAATCAGAGTTCTTTTCCTGAACTAAAGCTTCAATTCTTTCTTAGAGGAGCAGTGAAAGTTCAGTCTGAAAAAAACAAATACAAAATAGAAACCACACACTCCCTGCTTTTCAAGGCTGTCCTGCAACTGTGTAAGAAGTTACAGCAATAACATTCAATCATTCAAAAATATTAACTTGGTACCTACTATGGGCCAGTTTTAGCAATAATCAAATACTATAGAGGAAAAGCCAATCTAAAAGTCAAGAAGCATTAGGCGTAGCAGGTGGCAGACATGGAATGAAAAAATGGATATATAATGGCTTCAGTCTGACAGTTTCAATAATAGGTCTAAAATCAATTACTGCCATTTACTACCAGTGGCACAAGGCTTGGCAATGTTAACACAATAGGCATGAAAATATATTGAAACTTTAAAAAAAATATTAATGCACATGTCTGCTCAGGTGGGAGTGGCCAAATAAGATTCCTTTATTTCAATTCTTAGAATCTATCCCCACTATGTATTTGGACTTGATTCTGTTTTCATCCCATCATGCATGGTGACATACAAACTTCTCTGTTGACACTACAAATTGTGTGGATAATGAATAGGTTCCAAAAACTCATTTGATCAAACTAGTTCTGTATGAAAAGAAGAACCAATTGTGCTTATCTTATGTAACAAAATCAACTGGCTGATAAATAATTAGACGTACTGGCTTTCAGTCTTTTTTGACAATTGTTTTGATGTCATGGTATATTTATATTGAGAGACATATCATCTAAAACACCTGTGCTAGATACCACAGGACAGCCCTGGTGGACAGGGAAAGACAACAACTACACCACCTAGGTCTTAGAGCCAACTTTGTTGTGCACCTAAGTGAAAAAAAATTCAGAGATAAAAGGTCAATGATAGCATTAAGATTAACAAATTAAACATTAAACATGAATTTTCGCACTTTTGGAATGGTTCCTTGATGTCATGCAGAAAACAGATTAAAAACTGACTAAATACATGGAAAAATTTACATTTAGCCTAGCAGTAACTCTGACCATGAGAGACTAGGCCAAGAGTCTAAGTGAATACTTAAGTCCGGTATTAACCAAAACAATATACACTTGTTGCTGGCAAAGACTAGTCTACAAACAGAATATAGTATTTATAACATTTAAGGTCTAAGACTAAACAAAATTTTAACTTAAAAATGCTCTTACGCATGTCTTTAAACCATAGTTCAGATACGAGAATTTACTTCTAAAAGCATTCACCACTGTAACACAGAAGGAAATGATAAAAGAACTGCAAGAAACTCCAACCAAAATCTAATGCTCTGTGATGACTCTATTTTATCTCTCTCTCTCACTCTTTTTTAAATATCAGACCAACTTCTCAATTTGTGAGGGTATTCTTTGGTCATGCCCTAAATGTGTACTGAGTCTTTTTACTGAATAATTTAGCATAGACACTTTTATAGGCATCTTTGAAAATATTTCAGATCTTAAAATCTGAAGGTAATCTTTTCAATTTATAAATATGGAACATAAGTGTATCTGGCCCCCAAAAAACTGTGAATCGATTTTTGTTCACCCCTGTCTTTCTCTCTATGGGATATATATGTCGATATATTCATATCAGTGATATTATGAATGTATTTCCTCATGTAACAAGTTCCAACTTAATATATTCAATGAACTCAATTAAAAAATAGATTCTGACCTTTTTAGGGACTATTTTACATTTTTGACACATTTCCATGTCAAAAGATGAGAGATCTGTTCACCAATGATAAAGATAAAATAGCATTTTTTTCTGATATATTTTTAAGAGACCCAAACAACTAAAGTAGATAAATATTTTGAAGATTACTCTACTAATTGTCAGTCTAAAATAAGTTCTAAGTTCATTGGTCCAGGCTTTGAAACAAATTTAGGTCTAAAATTGACTAATTATGAAATTTTAAAGTTTATAATAAAACCTAAAATTAACATGTCCATATTTCTTCAGGCTATTAGTATTATTATAAAACACATTTAAACAGCTGTACATAGAGTCTCAGTTAATGGATATTAATGTTATGCTTTATATTTTCCTTGATGAAAAACGTTCTTACCGGCAAGAGGAGGGCCAAGAAGAACTGGGCCACACTCCACAATTGTGACAAGTCCCACAGCACTGGAAAATCTTGGTGCACCCACGAGGTCCATGAGAGTTTCAAAGAGGACACTGCTAACACTCCCAAATCCAAGGCCAAAAAATACAGCATATAATATCAGGCTTGTGTAGTCCTGTGCCAGCGGGCACAAGAGATGACACACTCCATTGAACATGATTGCAAAACTGAAGAAGTACTGAATTCGAGGTCGAATATATTTGGAGTTTGCAATTAATCCTACAGAAGGCCTAGCAAACATATCAACAAAAGCCATAATAGAGAGCAGAAAAGCTGCAGAATACTCATCGATTCCCTGGTCTTTAGCATATGGAGCCAAGAATATAATGGGGGCAAAAAAACCTAGGAACATAATGACATTTCCAGACAGATATATCAGAAATCCTCTATGCTTAAAAAGGGAGAAATCTAAATACTTATTAACTTTTTCCCAAGTTGATTTCTGTGTTTTGATTTTCTTCAGGCCTGAATCATCTTCTCTTATGCCAGTGTTATTTTTAGACTTAGAAGTGGTTTGACTGGGTCCAAGGGGTCTCATGAGAGACCCAGCCACACAGGCATTCAAAAGTAGACCTCCCAAAATCAGGAAGCTTCCCTTCCAGCCAAAAGTATTAAAAAGGTACTGATTGAAAGGAGCCAATGAACTTAAGAAAACAGGACTCCCTGCCATGGCCAGTCCATTTGCCATGGGTCGTTTCCTATAGAAGTATTTGCCAATTATTGTTAAGGCCGGTTGCAGGTTGAAGGCTAAACCTAAACCTAAAAAAAAAAAAAAAAGAGAGAGGAAACACAAACACGTTATGACACTCACAAAATAAATTACTCCAGGCAGAATTAAAAATGGAATATCAGATTGTACATTTTGATTACAATAAATGTAATTGCACAAAAACAAAAAAGTTTTTATACCTGAACATTTGAAATGACACTTTCATATTCCTTTAATTTTAAAGCACAGAAATGAAGCTAAGAAATTCTACTGATAGATCAACAATCATACAATAGATTGAAACCAGGACAAAATTATTAGTTCTCAATTAAAATCATTTAATTCCACAGATCCTTTCCTTTTAACACATGCTTATACACACAAATATGGAACAGATTTCTTCCTTGTGAGTAAGAGGGCAATATAAAAAGGTGAATACTTTCCTTTTGGAGTTAAAGAAGTATAAACAGACTAAAAAGGTAACAATTTGTAACAATCTTATGTCTCCCCAGAAACATTTATTTCAATATTATGTAAATAACAAAAAGAATAATGAATGTATGCCATTAATTTCATGCTCTACATCCCTCACATTCCACATTTAATGTATATAGATGAACATGCCTATTAAGTAAAAAGGATTTTTTGTTTGAAACATAGTTTCAATTCAGGGATTAACACTGATTGTTTATATGAGCCAAAGGCCCCATTATCTAGGGAGCTCCTTGGCAGTGTTGCGTATCACCTTTGGAAAATGAATTACCTGTTCTAGCTCACCAAGGTGCTACTGAGCGATTGTAATAAATAAGGTCCTTTAAACAGTACATTGATTTACATAAAATTTGATTTATATAAAATATCTCCTATTTCCCCTTAAACTAGGCATTACTCTATATTTATTTTAGGGACTAGAGAGTTAAGAGTTCTTCTATATTTACTGATTTATCTAAATTGAAACAGTTCTGCAAAGTGGTTAAGTATTCTAGTTGTGGAATACACAGGGCTGTGTACAAATACTCCAACCCTTTAATATAAACATTTTCTATAAAAAAGAGGACCCCTAAAAGCTGACAGGAAAGAACATGAACATGCTTTGGAGGGTAACAGGACACATGTTCTCTAACTCTACTTCAGCCATATCTGTGAGATATGCAGAATAAGTGTAATTAAATCCAATTTATAAATAACAAAACTGACCAGCCTATGGTCAAGTAGCTTGTAAGTGGAAGAACACAAATTAAAATCCAGGTGTTAGGTTTCAAAGCTTAAGGACTTTTATGTTATTGCATTTTCCCCATTCTGTCGCCTGGAACTTTTGCCTTCAAATGTTAATCCACATTGTGATTTGGAAATAGTTGCCGTCTCTTTCTCATTCTGGCATGGTAAAATGAATGTAGGCTTGAAATCAATAGATATGATCTGCTCCAAATAAGTACCTGTTTTGTATTACTGGGCAAAACACTTAGACTTCCTGAACTCTAATTTACCTAACAAAACAGACAGATTTTGCCAAAATAAAGTAAGTTCTAGAACTGTAAGGTGTTATATAAATGGCATTGTGATTACTATTATTTGCAAACATTTATTTATAAACAGCAAAATTCTGGGCACTCTGTAAAGTACTATATATTCATTTTTTACATTAATCATCCTAATAACTCATTTTAAAAAGAGCTATTATTTATCTCATTTTACAGACAAAGAAATTTAGGTATAAGGAGGTTAACGTACCCATGATTACACAGATAATATGTGCCAAGGCAAGTTTAAATGCTAGATCTGTCTACTTTTGGAAACCAAAGTCAAAGTATTTTCTGATTTAAAGTAAATCCCTCATAGATAGACTTAATAATTGACTTTGGGGGCATCAAAATATTTAAGAGCCAAAGGAATAAAATTATAAGTTAGAATAGCAATAATGCCAGTGATATTTGTAGTGCAGGGAATAACAAAATCATCTTTTCCCTAATCATGTATTTGTAGGCCCATTCTGACTTATACAGTCAAATGTAGTAGTCAGTATCTTCATACAAAGGAAAAGGCACTCTCTCCACTATGACAATGCTTGGTATGAGAGGGTTTTCATTTACAAGATTAAATGTATTTTGCCATATCAAAAAAGGAGAGAGATGTGGATAGATTGTAAAGAGAAAAATTTTAACATCACTATTACTGTAAGCTTCAATACATTTTTTTTCATCAAATGATACATGAGTGTAAGATTACAGGAGTATAAATATTTTTGCCTTTTTATCTCTGGGCAGAAAGGCAAGATTCAGTCTCTTTACATATTGAAGTTTAATTTTTCCTAAGATGTTGAATATAAATTTTTAATGCAATTTATTATTTAAACTAATAAAAATAGTACTTTCCAAGTGCACATGTTATGGTCAGTTAGAATCAATAGATATGTACATGAGAAACAACTATAATCAAGTGACAGTAGGTCATTTGAAATATTTGTGTTAGAGGAAAATAACACAAAAGCTTGGCTCACCAAGCTTTTAAACAGGATCATTTGAGTAAGAAAAAGAAGAAACAGGGTTAATGAACTTTACCACTAATCAGAACAAGCAAAAATAATTTTATTGTTGAAGCTAAATCAGTGCATCCAGAAAATATCTCGTTGGCCCTGTTTTAATATATTATGAGTGGAAAGTCAGATATTGGAAATGGAAATAAGTCATGAAAATAAGTTTTATAGTAATGAAAGTATTTATTTATATCAAAAAGTCTGGGTCCGACAACATTATCTCCGTTGAGGAGTAAAAAGCATAAAAGGCCAAAAAGAAAAAAAAAAAACTAAAGTTGTTTTCTTTTTGAATTTGTATGATAACATGTAACTTGTCTGATAACATTTTTTTTCATTTTTTTAAAAAATGAAATGTTTGGCTATTATATAGCTTGAATTTCAATGTACTAGATGAAAATACTTTAAAACAGCATTGTTCATAAAAAAGTAAATTAAAAGAAAATAAGAATTTTCTGTTGGTCATTCTTTTCATAGGGCTTTGAAAATAGCAGAAGACTTAAGAATAAGCTGAAGACCAAACAATTTACCTGTAATGAATCCCATAGTGATGTACAGCTGCACCACACTGCTACTGAAGGAGGCCAACACCATTCCAAGACAGCATAATAAGCCTCCTGCTATCACCACCGGGCGGCTGCCATATTTATTCACCAAAACACTACTTATGGGGCCTACAGCAGAGAGGAGATTAAGAAATATTCAGTTACTGGGTCATTTATTTGTTCATCTTTAACATCCAATCATTTGGAAAGGTGAGGAAGCACATTTTAATGGTCAGAGGAGAAATATTAGTTCACATGAAATATAATGAGAACTTTTCAATACTTCACAAATGATCAGTTTGGCAGGTTCTTTTCAGTCATATGAAAGAAGCCCATGAAATAATAAATTAGAAATGTTTAACATATATTTATTTATAACCATAATCATTCAAATCTTGATGGAAAAGTTTTACAATAAAACATAGCTAAAATATCTAAAATATCTTAACAAATGCAGGTAAATTTATGTAACAAAAATCTATGATTACATAAATGACTTTTCTGTTAAAATTTTATTTTTGAGAATAATGCATCTTAGAATAATGTGCCATTTATTAGGGCTGAACATTTTTTAAAATTATCTTCAGCAGTGATTTTTCTTCAATACCATAATTTGTTGATTCTAAGACACCTATTGTTTTCACATCCTATCATATTAGCAATAGGGGTGTCTTACATATAATGACTTCTTCCAATCTATGTTCATCAAGAAGAAGTCATAGGTAGTAATGTTGTTATCATGGCCTATGCATGTCTGAATGTGGTTGTTATTTCCTGTGGCTTGATTGGGCAATACTTAATCACATTTCAATAGAACCTTTGAGGAGCATTTGAAAAATGAATATAAATATGAATCCTGATTTTTGCCTGAGAAATCTTCTGTTGACAAATTCTAGTAAGGTAGAGTAAGTAGCAGCATCAAAACTTACAGATTGGGTGCAGCTGTTTGGATGAAATTACCAGAAAAAAAATGGTGGATCTCTCTGTTAATATACATTGCACACTGACAAAGAGAATAATCTTAGGTGTGAGACGCGAATGTTGAAAACTCAGACTCCAAAGTAGTTTAGAAGAGTCAGATAGTGAATGGGAAGAACATGTAGGAATGCCTTACCAATTTTTTAATGTATATTTCCAATGTATGTCTGTGTGTGTATATATATATATATAAAATATACAGAAGTGATTAAAATTATTAAAATAATCTGCATTTAAGTCTAAAAAAGTTCTTTCGGTAGTTATAAAAGTTCTAAATGTTAAGAAAGTGTTGTTTTACTTCAGTGACAGCACTATTTTCTTTCCTGGTATACTATAAAATAACAGTGCAACTTAACAATTAAGACTCTTGGACTCAATGAAATTCCATAGTATTTTATGGGACTTGTCAATGTGTAAATGGCTTGCTTTGACAAATGATTCTTAACTTACAATTGTATTTCATCTGAAACTAGGAATACTATTTGGAGGACATAAATGCTATATTAGGTCAGAATTTTTAATTCAATATTTGGCCTACAAAACATAGTAATTTTTTAGCTAATACTATGGCACTAAGAATTTCCAAGAGTATTGTATTTAAGAATTTTTACATGGATCACATATAAAATAGATTGAGATTCATTTATCAATGCACCCATATCCTTTTACACAAATATAATTATTATTTTTAATCTGCAAACAAAATTTTGAAATTAAACCTTAGTGCCTAATAGTATTTATTACTCCATAATATCTTTTGAAAGAATATTGGTGATAACACAAAATTTTAGAAAGATAACTTAAACACAGAATACAAAAGCTTGCATTTATAACAGCAGCAACCTAAAACTTTGAAAAGGCGACATGAAAGCTTTTATGAAAGCTCCATAAAAATGACAGGATTTAGAGGGAAGAAATCAAAGAAAATTGTGCAAGTTGTATAAAAAGAATATAATTTTGTCTCTATCATGGTGAAGTTTACCTGCAGAGCTGAAGAAAATAAATTATACATGCAGAGAATATATATATAACACATATAAGACATATGTCAAAGACATTGCAGATGAGATTCCAGAGAAACTCGATGAAGCAAATATTGCAATAAAATGATTCACAAATTTTTTGGTTTCCCAGTGCATATAACAGTTATGTTCACCCTTTACACACTATAGTCTATTAAATGTGCATAGAATTATATCTAAAAAGCAATTTGCATAACTTAATTAAAAATACTTTATTGCTAAAAAATGTTAATGATCATCTGAGCCTTCATTGATTCACAGTCTTTTTGTTTGTCTTGACTGTTGACGGCTGCTGACTGATCAGGGTGGTGGTTGCTAAAGGCTGGAGTAGCTGTGGCAATCTTTTTGTTGTTGTTGAGACAGGGTCTTGCTCTGTCACTCAGGCTGGAGTGCAGTGAATGCAGAGCGCCTCATACATAGCTCACTGAAGCCTTGACCCCCTAGGCTCAAGATCCTCCCAACTAAGCCTCCCTAGTAGCTGGAACCACAGGTGCGTGCCACCATGCCTGACTACTCTTTTATATATTTTTTTTGGTAGAGATGGGGTATTGCTGTGTTGCACAGGCTGGTCTTGAATTCCTGGGTTCAAGAGATACTCTTACCTCAGCCTCCCCAAATGCTGGGATTATAGGTGTGAGCCATGGCACCGGGCTGGCAACTGCTTAAAATAAGACAAGTTTGTTGCATCAGTTGACTCTTTCTTTCATGCAAGATTTATTTGTAGCATGTGATGTCATTTGAAAGCATTTTACCCACAGTAGAACTTCTTTCAAAATTGGAGTCAACTCTCTCAAACCTTACCACTGCTTTATCAACTAAGTTTATGCAATATTCTAAATCTCTTATAGTTATACCAACAATGTTTACAGCATTTTCATCAGGAGTAAATTATATTTCAAGAAACCACTTTCTTGGCTCATCCATAAGAAGCAACTCTTCCTTACTTCAAGTTTTATCATAAGATTGCAGCAATCTAGTCACATCTTCAGTCTCCACTTCTAATTCTAGCTCTCGTGCTATTTCCACCACATCTGTAGTTACTTACTTCACTGAAGTCTTGAACCTCTTAACGTTATTCATGAGGGTTGAAATTAACTTCTTCCAAACTGTTAATGTTGGTATTTTGATCTCCACCCATAAATCATGAATGATCGTAATGTTATGTAGAATGGCAAATCCTTTCCAAAAGGTTTTCCATCTCCTTTTCCCTAGATCCATCAGAGGAATCACTATGTATGGCAGCTGCGAGCTTACAAAATGTACTTAAATTTTAAGAATTGAAAGTTGAAATGACTCCTTGATCCATGAGCTGCAGAATGAATGTTGTATTAGCAGGCATAAAAACATTAACCTCCTTCTACATCTCTATCAGAGCTCTTGGGTGACTCAGGTGCATTGTCAGTAAGCAGTGCTATTTTGAAAGGAATTTTTTGCTTAGCAGCAGGTCTCAACAGTGGGCTTAAAATATTCAGCAAACTATGCTGTAAACAAATGTACTATTATACAGGTATTGCTATTCCATTTATAAAACACAGGTAGAGCAGATTTGGCATAATTATTAAGAGTCCCAGAATTTTTAGAATAGTAAATGAGCTTTGCTTCAACTTAAAGTCACCAGCTTCACTGGCCCCTAAAAAGAGAGTCAGCTTATCCTTTGGAGATTTGAAGACAGGCATTGACTTCTGCTCTCCACCTATAAAATACCTAGATGGCATCTACTTCCAATAGAAGGCTATTCCATCAACACTGACAATGTGTTGTTTAGTGTAGGCACCTTCACCAATGATCTTAGCTAGATCTTCAGGATAGCCTACTGCAGTTCCTAATCAGCATTTGTTGCTTCACCTTTTACTTTTATGTTAGCAAGATGGCTTACTTCCTTAAACTTCATAAACCAACATTTACAAGCTTCAAGGTTTTCTTCTGCAGGTTCTTCACCTTCAATAGAATTGAAGACAGTTGGGGCCCTGCTCTGGATTAGGCTTTGGCTTAGGGAATGTTGTGGCTGGCTGATCTTGCATCCAATCTTCTAAAACGCTCTTCACTTTTCCTTTGCATTCACAACTTGGCTAATTTTAGTGCTAGAGACCTAGCTTTCAGCCTTTCCGTGCTTTCAGCACCTTTCTCATTAAGCTGAGTCATTTCTAGCTTTTGATTTAACATTAGGGACTTGTGACTCTTCCTTTCACTTGAACACTTAGAGGCCATTGTAGGTTTATTAAATGGCCTAATTTCAATATTGTTGTATCTCGGACAATAGAGAGACCCTAGGAGATGGGGAGAGATAGCAAAACAGCTGGTCTAAGGAGCAGGGAGAACACACACAGCATTAAGCCCACCATCTTTTCTGAGACAGAGGCACAGTTCATGACACCCAAAACAATTATAATAGCAAGATCAAAGATAACCATAACAGATATAATAATAATAAAGTTTGAAATACTGTGAGAATTACCAAATGTGACACGAGATACAAAGTGAGCACACGCTATTGAGAAAAATGATGCCAACAGAGTTTCTGAAGGTAGGGTTGCCACAAACCTTCAATTTGTAATTAATGCAATATTTGCTAAGTGCTATAAAGTGAAGGGCAACAAGTGGAAGTATATATGTATTTTAGTTTCTCTATTTTTACCTCTAAATGATAAAAAAGCAGTATAATTGTCATTTGTTAGTTTTGGCAAATATTTTTGATAAACTTCTCAGAAATGCATAAGTTTATCGACTAGAAATAATATTTTTTGTAAATGAGATGGTTTCCAATTTTCTGCTTTTCACAATATTGAGGGAAGATTCAATTGAATTGTCAGCCCACAGATCATTTCAAATAATTGTTGATAATAAGTCATTATGTGATTTTGCCAAGTTCAAATGATTGGCTAATACTGAAAATAAAATACTTTCCACTGTCATCCAGTTTATTATGTGAACAAGTTACTCAACATGTACATCAATTAAAAACCAAGCAAAACCAAGAAAGAAATGAAACTAAAACCTGTATCTGCTCAGCTAGCACTAAGAAATATTCATCTATACGTATACAGGATGCCTATTCAATTCATTAAAAGGCACATTTCCTTGGGAGGCTGAGGCAGAATTGCTTGAACCTGCTAGGTGGAGGTTGCAGTG